CAGAGTATCAAGATCTTCAATCACATTTCAGAAGGTACAAAGATCCTGCCAGTTCCAGAATTCCGGAGAAGACTGAGAGCTATTGTCACGAAAAATCCGATGTATACCATTGACATGTTTTTCCAATTTAATGTTTGAACTCAATGTGTGTTATATTACAATGCAATTATTGTTAAATTGACGTAGTCTACGCTTTTTTGGTAAAATGGGGGGAATAAAGTATTATTATTATTATACGTTCAGCATCAGTTTCATTTCTCCAAGGCTATCCGAAATAAGGACCATATCGTACGTGTAGCGCAAATTACTTAGGTATTGCCATCAATGTTTATACCTTTTACATGTAATATGTTTGATTACATGACTTTAATTAATTTTAATAGACTTACTCCAAGTCCACTAGTGTCGGAGCAGATGGTAATGGACTAATCTATCTAAATAGTTATTACTCCCCTAACACATATTTTCAACTGTTCTTTTGAACAGTCTATATTTTCCTCAATGTGGCGAATCGCCTATGTTATTCCTATCCCAAAAATTAAATCTCCGTCCCATGTTGGTGACTTTGTACCCATTTCTATTCTATCTACTTTGTTAAAAGCTATTGAACGTTTAGCTTATTTGCAGATTCACAAATATCTTGAGGAGTTTAATCTGGTTAACAAGTTCCAGTCTGGTTTTCGTGAAGGGCATGGTACTACTACAGCAGCGATTAAGATCACCGATGATATTAGATCTGCGTGTGATAACCGTTGTGTTACCTTGCTAGTGTTACTTGATTTTAGTAAGGATTTGATTCTGTGGACCATGCCTTAAGCCTGTTAACTAGGCTTATTGGTTTTACCTCTTCTTGTGTATCTTGGTTCCAGTCCTACCTTTCCTATCGGTCCTTACTGGTGACTTTAATGTACGCTTTGAGCTAGATAGCAGAGAGGCTCAGAGTTTGTGCAACCTATGCAAATCTTATGGTCTGCACAAATGTGTTAATGATTGTACCCGTGATCATGTCTAGACAACATATTTACCAACCTTGATCCAACTCTGTTTTTGGTTAATGTTATCGATCCGTCCATTTCTTAGGTGATCAGAAAGCCGTTTCCTTTCAAGGTGACTGGTTGGGCAGTTCTCCAGTAATAAAGAACCGTATCATTTGTAGACCCATTACAGACGAGGGTCTCTTCCATTTTTATAACCTTCTCGAGTCAACTGATTTTAGCTTTGTCAGTAATGCTAATTTACATGTAATCGATAATTTTTCATTATTTATTAACTTGATTGTAGATTCTTTTCATCTCTGCTTCAGGGAGAGAACTAGAGTAGTCGACCATCTTAACGATAATAGACCGAAAATATCCTGGTTCAACAATGAAATTAAGTCTGCTAGGAATGTACTTCACTTGCTGGTCGATATCAACAGACACCGGCCAACGGTAGTGTCGAGAGCTCAGGTCAGGTACTATAGAGACTTTTACCGGAAACTTATTACTGACTCTAAGAAAAGAGCCAACAGTCAACACATTGAAAACTCAGGAAACAAGCAGCGTGCTATTTATCGTGCTATATAGCACGACCTCTGACCTAAACGCATACTTTGCTAATGTGGCCGAAAGTGTTGTCAATGATATTAACCTTCCTACACTAAACCATCATAATGTCTCCTCGGATCCGTTGGTCGATGATCATAATAATAAACTCTTCGAATTTAAGCCGATATCTTATAAGGAACTACGTGACATAATCTCAAAATTAAAAAATTCGATGTCCAGGGATGTGCATCAATTAAACAGTAGCTTAATTAAAACAGTCTCAAATATAATTGTTTACGCATTATGTAAACTAATAAACCAGTGCTTATTAAACTCGATTTTTCCGGACTGCCTTAAAGTGGCAAAGGTTATTCCTATTCGCAAAAAAGGAATACCGACCAATACCCATTCTGCCAATTTTCGAGAAAATCTTTGAAATAGTTTTAAACAAACAAATGGCAACTCACCTCAATTCCAATAGCCTACTGTTTTCCGAACAGTTTAGCTTTAGAAGAAATAGGTCGACATCGGGCGCCATCCGGACTTTGGTGCAATTTGTTCAGAATGGTTTCGAGGCCAATATTTATTCGGGAGCTGCTTTTTATGATTTAACAAAGGCGTTCGACTGCGTCTCTCATTAGTTACTAATTCGTAAATTTAGTGCCTTCAATATGGACATCAGCAGCATAAATCTTCTAGAATCTTTTGATATTTATCAAGTATTTACCCAGTAACATTCCACATGATTCCAACCTCATCCTTTTTGCTGATGATACAACAGTAATGGTCTCCTCAACAGATGTCGATGCCTTGCGTCACCGCATATCTAAGTCACAAGCCTGCATCTCATATTGGATTCAGGCCAACAGACTAAGCATGAATAGAAAACTTTTCACTTAAACGTCTCAGGTCGTGTTCGGAGCCGGTCAAGTTCCTGGGGGTCTATCTTGACTCTGGTTTGACGTGGATTGACCAATTGACGAAAAAACTGAATACCATTGTATTCGTCATTCGGAGACTGAGAGACCTTGTCCCGTTCAATGTTGTGATGAACACATACTACGGCTATTTTATTCTATTTTATTTTGCTGGGGTCACTCCGTCCATGTGGATCGTGTTTTTGGTGTGCAGCGAAGAGGTGTTAGAGTTATGGCCGGTGTAGGTTTTTGGGACTGTTGTAGATCCAATTTCATTGTTTATAAGATACTGACTTTCCCTTCGCTTTACATTCTCTATTGTCTCTTATACAGGATGATTCGGGAGGAAATGGAAAGATTTTAAGGACATGTCTAGGAAGCTAAAATAAGCAAAATAAGCCCATATGTTCAAATCCGATTTTCATTTGTTTGAGATATTTTGAACAATAATAATTTCAAAATTAAAGCAAAATTTATTACTAAACTAACAAACCAAAAAAACAAGTAGCATTAATTCACATTAAATTTTCGAAAACTCCACCACCCACTTCGATACACTTATTTGCGCGTTTATAAATGGACCTGGTAGCCAGTTTCAGTGAACGATGATTCGCTCTAATGAACGCCGCAGCATTAAGAATACGATCTAGTAGCACATCCCTTGTGTCCACTTTCCTAGCATAAACTAAGGACTTCATCCATCCCCAAAGACAAAAATCTAGGGGAGTGAGGTCCGGTGATCTCGGTGGCCAAGGGTGCGGGCCTCCTCTCCCAATCCAGCGATTGAGCTTCATCGGCAAATAATATGCATTTAAGTAATCTTCTGTTTTCACGAATCCATTGACAAAATTGTAGTCTTAATGGATAATCGCTTTCTTGGAGATTTTGTACTTTCTGCAAATGAAAAGCGTTTAAGCCTTGCCGCTTTAATGTTTTCCAAACCATTGTTTGTGGAATTTCAAATTGTATTGCCATGCGCCTTGTACTTATCCCTGGATTATTTTCTACAACGTCCAGAATATTTTCTTCATGTTCCAAACTGAGCCCTTGCTGTTTTTCAGAAGCAATGCTTGCACTTGGGAATATTCCACTTTCGCCAGCACGTGTAAAAACAGTTTGAAACACTTGCCTATTAGGAATTCTTCGATTCGGAAAACGACGTCGATACTCTTCTACTGAACGAACAGTATTACCATTACAAAAACCATAAACAAACACCATATCTGCATATTCTGGATGACTGAAAATGTGAGGCATTTTTATTATTTCGTAACAATTACAACTATCACTTTAATTAACATTTTGTTTCAAATTGTCATATAGGATAACGTTGTCAAATATAACTTAATTAACTTTTTAAAAAAAAAAACCTAATTATCTCGGAAACAAATGAAAATCGGATTTGAACATATGGGCTTATTTTGCTAATTTTAGCTTCCTAGACATGTCCTTAAAATCTTTCCATTTCCTCCCGAATCACCCTGTATATCAAGGGTAATATCTCCAAATTTAAAACTCTTAATACTTATCATAATTACTACACTAGAGCGGGTGATACCTTAACTACGGACTATTCTCGAACGGCAAGGGCCAGGGATGACGTCAATTATTTTGGCATAAAATTCTACAATGTCGTTTCGAAACACATAAGATTCCTAGAGAGTAACAATTTCAGACACAAAGTGAAAAATTATTTAGTGGCGAAGGCCTTTTATACTGTTCAGGAATTTTTGACCAATGATTTTGATGACTTGCTATGACCGGTGTGAAGCCTTTTTCTTCTTTTGTTGTTCTTTTACTTACCTGTTGTTACTTATTACTACTTTTAGTTTGTTGTATTATTTTCTTTTATGACCTGTGAAAATCACTTCTTGATGCTATCACCAATAAAGTATTATTATTATTATTATCTTCTTCTTGACTTATACGTGTTTGTTTTCTTCTCTAGTCTGCCTTTCATCTATCTTTTTCTGCACTTTTTTGTGTCTATATCCTCCCTTGTAGTAACTGACTGTCGATCCGTTACATAACTCGAATATGCTCATTCGCTCAGGCCTATTAGTACATCATTTAGTATTACTTTTTTGGTAGCCATAATTATTTATTTAAAATTACATATAGGGTGTCTTCGAAGATATCGCTTATTGCGATAAATTGATCCGTTTGCCTTGATGGAGAAGGTTTCTCAAAAATGTTGTAGATATGTAAAATGTTTGATTACATGACTTTAATTAATATTTCTTAAAGATGAGTTTGATGAAATAATTGTTATCCATGTATCAGGTCCTTGACTTTGGGGGTTGCGGTCGTTGTTGAAATTTTTGGTAGAAGCGAGAATCGGGTGGCACGTGCCATGGCCCACCTGCGTTTTACAATTATAATTACACATCTTACATGTCCTAGAACCTCCCATGCAACGTCTTTTGATTTTCCTATTGGTTTATTGGTATGGGGTTGTGGTCCGCGATTGGCTCGGGCCCCCGGCACGGTCCTGGCACGCGCATGGACCTGAGAGGCGGCAGTGTTGTCCTGAAGAACCGCCAGTGCCGCTCCGAAACCCGCCGGCAGAGGTAGTGGCGATCGTCTAAATTCCGCCGTCGTCACGCGGTCGAAAAGTTGAAACGTCGAAACATTGTCCGTCGGCTTTGTTGCTGTTTTCGTCGAGCTCTTCGGCGATGATCCGCAAAGTGGCCTGTTCACCTCAGACTCTCTTCATTTTACTAGCCGTATTGTGTTTTTCGCACGCGGCCAGTTCAACAGGAGCTGGTTCCAACGGTGAGTACCTCTGGGTACCTTGAGTTGATTCATCAGAAGCGCTTCTTTCGACGGTCTACCAATGTTTGGATTCTTGGCGTAGCTGACAGCGCTCGCTTAATTCATCGGAATGTATAAAATATTTATTGTTTGTTCTCGGAAAAAAATTAATATTAAGAAAAAAATTTAATTGCTCGTGAATTAAAATGAGTAGGTAAGAACTCAAAACTATTATTGATATAAATGTAGCAGATTGTCCATAAGGGATTACTAAATTAAGCAAATTCTCTAAAGCCGCTTAGATTCGCGTCGGAGATAATTGAATTCCGCATAATTGGCCAAAACTAAAATTCGCGGATCCGTACTGGTCTATCCTTTTTGAACATTAAACTGATTACCGGACATTTAGTCAGACTTTCGAACCCTCTATTCAGCCCTGTGATTCACCAAGTCTCAATAGTAGAGAGGTTAGCCGGAGTCTGTCCGCAATATTAGACATTGTTAAATAATGCATGCGTACCCTAAAGTTAAAGGGGACCAAATTAAGAATTGTCCGCCATACATATGTATGGGGGAATCCCCCGGTTTCGGTCCCGGCCCTCTTGCTTGGAATCCCGAACTAATTCGGGCGTCATATGTCACTCTGGGATGTTAATAGGCGGGGACGAAGAATTTCGGCGATCTAATGCAATAAAACGGCCCTCAGACAACCTCGACACCGAGGTGCAAACCGTAACTATATATACTTGAAACCAGTTCCCTGGCGTCGAGTCTTCAGAAAGTGAATATCTAATGGATTTGATATAAAATTGATCAAAGAGTATATCGCCGTCAATTCCCCGGGATTCTCTACACTTAGATCATTTTTACATTTCAATTTTAATATCGAATGGATTCAACACGGTTTGTGTATTTAAGCGCATTAAATTTTGTATAACGTATGGGAATATGTTGAAACAGTGCGAAAATATCCGGAATGGCGAAAATAGTTTCGTATAAATAAATAAACGGAAAGGTATTAGCAAGAATTAAATGACAGGGTGTTCATGAAATGCCCGGATTAACATAGTAAATGGATGAATTTCGAGCGGGAGCGGCTCAGATAAGGCAGCATTATTTATCCTTATCGCCGGATCTTCCTGTATCGAAAAGGGCCCGTTTAGAGGAGGACGGCTAAACGAGTCGCGACTTATAAAGTTATTCAACGGATTTTGTTTCTATTCCCCTTTTTATTGCTCAGCATCAATAGAAAACTGTATCGGATTGCGTCTTTTGACATGGATTTTAATAACGTAAGATATCCAACGGTATTTCAGATAAAAATAATAAAAATCCTTCTTACAAAAGTAAAAAATCTCTTTGTTTCAATCTACTCAACATTTCATACCACATTGAATTTGCAAAGAAATTTACAAATATAAACTTAAAAATGACAATATATTTATTTTATTGGAAATTATCTTAAAACCGATAATTGGAATTTCTCTGCAAAATTTTTCTTTAAAATGTAGTAAACAAAATCGTTTTATCTTAATTTTGTCTTGAGAAAAAAATTCCATGTTATAATGAATATTTTTAAATATTAAAAGAAATTAACGAAAATCATATCTCTGTTGAAAATTTGAATTTTTTTACAAAAATGTCAAGAATTATAAATAAAGGTACGCCCTTTAAAACGTAATTCACCAAATTGTTTTATCTTAATTATGTCTTGAGAAAAAACTTCCTAAAAATGCGATGTTTAAATGGATATTGTTAAATATTCAAGAACATTTTAAAGTCATATCTATTAATAATTTAATTTTTTTTTTAAAATGTCAAAAATTACAGTTAGAAGAATGCTCTTTAAAATGTACAAAACAAAATTGTTTTATCTTAATTGTGTCTTGAAAAAGAAATTCCTAAAGATGAGTGGATATTTTTAAATATTCAAGAAAATTTAAAAAAGTCATATCTCTGTTGAGAATTTGAATTTTTTTACACAAATGTCAACAATTATAAATAAAAGAGCGCCCTTTAAAATGTAATTGACCAAATTGGTTTATCTTAACTATGTCTTGAGAAAAAAATTCCTAAAGATGCCATCTTAGAATGAATATTTTTAGATATTAAAGGATATTAAAGAACATCATATCTTTGCTGATAATTTAGAAATTTTGTACAAAACTATCAAAAATTATGAATGAAAGAGCGCTCTTTAAAATGTAATTGACCAAATTGTTTTAACTTAATTGTGTATTGAAAAAAAAATCCTAAAGATGTGATGTTTGAGTATTTTTATATATTGACGAAAATTAAAAAATCATATCTTTGTTGATAATTGGAATTTTTCTACAAAAATTTCAAAAATTATAAATAAAAGAACGCTCTTTAAAATGTATTAAACAAAATTGTTTTGTTTTAATTGTGTCTAGAAAAAAAATTCCTAAAGATGCGATGTTTGAGTGCATATTTTTAAATATTCAAGAAAATTTAAAAAAGTCATATCTCTGTTGAGAATTTGAATTTTTTTACACAAATGTCAATAATTATAAATAAAGGAGCGCCCTTTAAAATGTAATTGACCAAATTGTTTTATCTTAATTGTCTTGAGAAACAAATTTCTAAAGATGTGAATATTTTTAGATATTACAGGATATTAAAGAAAATCATATCTTTGCTGATAATTTAGAAATTTTGTACAAAACTATCAAAAATTATGAATAAAAGAGCGCTCTTTAAAATGTAATTGACCAAATTGTTTTAACTTAATTATGTATTGAAAAAAAATTCCTAAAGATGGGATGATTGAGTATTTTTAAATATTGATGGAAATTAAAAAAAATCATATCATTGCTGATAATTGGAATTTTTCTACAAAAGTGTCAAAAACTATAAATAAAAGAACGCTCTTTAAAATGTATTAAACAAAATTGTTTTGTCTTAATTGTGTCTTGAAAAAAAATTCCTAAAGATGCGATGTTTGAGTGGATATTTTTAAATATTCAAGAAAATTTAAAAAAGTCATATCTCTGTTGAGTATTTGAATTTTTTTACACAAATGTCAATAATTATAAATAAAGGAGCGCCCTTTAAAATATAATTGACCAAATTGTTTTAACTTAATTGTGTATTGAAAAAAAATTCCTAAAGATGGGATGTTTGAGTATTTTTAAATATTGATGGAAATTAAAAAAAATCATATCTTTGCTAATAATTGGAATTTTTCTACAAAAACCTCAAAAATTATAAATAAAAGAACGCTCTTTAAAATGTATCAAACAAAACTGTTTTGTCTTAATTGTGTCTTGAAAAAAAAATTCCTAAAGATGCGATGTTTGAGTGGATATTTTTAAATATTCAAGAAAATTTAAAAAAGTCATATCTCTGTTGAGAATTTAAATTTTTTTACACAAATGTCAACAATTATAAATAAAGGCGCGCTCTTTAAAATGTAATTGACCAAATTATTTTATCTTAATTGCGCCTTGAGATTTTTTTTAATATTAAAGGAAAATATAATTTAAGAATAGACATTAAAGAATAGACATGTCGCTTAAAAATCGACAATCTTTCTTTTATCGGTGTAAAATCACCCAAATAAGCTGTTAAAAATAAATAAAAAGTGCGGAAAAGTGAAAAACGTACCGAAAAATGAGTTTGAAATTTCGATGAGACGTCACGAACCTTCCTTACAACGTATTTTTCACAACACAATGGTAAACACTGGTCCGAGAAAATTATTTTTCCACATCCACGCACACAGCACGAATAAAGTAAGTAAAAATTAAATCATTTTCTCAAATTTAATGAAAGAATTATCAACTTGTTAGTATTATAACGTATATTTTCGGGTGATATACCCATGTTACTTGGGTTCTCGAAGCATGATGAATAAACGTCTTTATTTACCATTTACCTGCTCGTGAGGATTAGATATGGAGAAGGGTGTGGGTCAAATATTGGTATAGTCTTGTTGAAAGAAAAAAAAACCGATTTATTTCCGAATTTTGTGTAGAAATTAGATTTTGAGTTAGATTAATTAACATTTAAACTAGTGCGCAATCCCGAAATGTCGGGTCGGGTTCGAAGCAGGGGTAAAAACTCGGATCCACACGAGCAGGTAGATGGCAAATAAAGACGTTTAGTCGTTATGCGTCGACGAAAATATGCGTTATAATACTAAAAGTTGTTAATTCTCTCATTAAATTTGAGAAAATGATTTAATTTTTACTTAATTTATTCGTGTTGTGTGCGTGGATGTGGAAAAATAGTTTTCTCGGGCGTGTGTTATCCATACAATTGTGTTAAATACGTGGTAAGTAAGCTTCGTGACGTCATAAAATGTGACGTCACGTCGAAATTTCAAACTCATTTTTCGGTCATTTTTTCACTTTTCCGCACTTTCTTTTTATTTTTAACGCGGTTTTTAGGCATTTTTACGTCGGTTAAAAAAAATAATCGTTTTTAGGGCACATGTACATTGGTAAATTATTCCCCCTTTAAAATGTAATTGACCATATTGTTTTATCTTAATTGTGTATTGAAAAAAAATTCCTAAAGGTGCGATGATTGAGTATTTTTAAATATTCAAGAAAATTTAAAAAAGTCATATCTCTGTTGAGAATTTGAATTTTTTTACACAAATGTCAATAATTATAAATAAAGGAGCGCCCTTTAAAATGTAATTGATCAAATTGTTTTATCTTAATTGTCTTGAGAAACAAATTTCTAAAGATGTCATCTTAGAGTGAATATTTTTAGATATTACAGGATATTAAAGAAAATCATATCTTTGCTGATAATTTAGAAATTTTGTACAAAACTATCAAAAATTATGAATAAAAAAGCGCCCTTTAAAATGTAATTGACCAAATTGTTTTAACTTAATTGTGTATTGAAAAAAAATTCCTAAAGATGGGATGATTAAGTATTTTTAAATATTGATGGAAATTAAAAAAAATCATATCTTTGCTAATAATTGGAATTTTTCTACAAAAACCTCAAAAATTATAAATAAAAGAACGCTCTTTAAAATGTAT